TCAAAGGGCCAGTGGCCAGGTTGCCACAACTAGGTGGGCATGGCCAGCCTGACGCCACTCGGCGTCGCCTCGCCAGAAGAGACCAAGTCCCGCTGCCTAACTTGACGGGAGGGTTTGGTACCCCCACAAGCTCCTTGCCTCTCCAAACTGCTAGCGGCCAAGTCCATGCGTGCACATAGCACATATGAATTCCATGTTTGGGGACATTTATCCCCATTCCATTTCCATTTATTGAATTTATAGGCTGCCCAATCCCAGAGTACTCCGGGCGGCTTACAGAAATAAGAAATATTAAGAAAGGATTTAAACAAATCAGACACAACAAATTAAAAGAAACACAACATGCACCCAGTCAAAGGGGGGGGCTGGACCTCAATCAAGAGGTCAACAGCCCCAGGCCTGCCGGAAAAGCCAGGTTTTGATAGCTTTTCGGAAGGCCATGAGAGTGGGTAGGGTCCAGATCTCTGGGGGTAGCTCATTCCATAGGGCCGGAGCGGCAACAGAGAAGGCCCTACTCTGAGGCGTCGCCAGCCGACATTGTCCAGCTGATGGCACCTGGAGAAGGCCCATCCTGTGCGATCTTATCGGTCTTAGGGAGATATGTGGCAGAAGACGGTCTCGTAGATATCCGTAGATATTTTCCTGTTGCAACTGTAATATAAGTGAAAGTAAATATTAGGAGTTAAATTATACATTCTGAAAAAGTAGATGATGTATTTGTTAATTTGCTATATCTTTTTATGTATTTACTTACAAGGTCCCAAAGGTGAGGCTGGACGTGTTATTTCTCTCCCTGGTCCCCCTGGAGCGAGAGGTTTTCCTGGACCTGCTGGAAATCCAGGCTTCCAAGGTATTTTCTTGTGTTATGATGTGGAGAGTGTTCTTAATTGTTCCATAATTCCTTTTCATCGGAACATCACATGGTTTATGTTATACCTAACTCTGCAGGTGACAAGGGAGACCCAGGGATCCCAGGAAGACCTGGTCTGCCAGGTGAAAAAGGTCTGGCAGGGCCTCCTGGAATTGGATTTCCTGGCCCTTCAGGGCCCCCAGGTATTATCTTATTTACACTATAAAGTGAATGACTATTTGAAGAAGACTCTTTGAGATAAATAGAGGATGGCCAAAATTTCAGAAATCCTTCTTCTATGCTGGCCAAAGCAAAAAATTCCAAACGTATTTTAAATTGTGAAATGTGATGGGGTTGGATAAGCTAACAATAAGTTAAAAACTTAACTTTTAATAACATATATCAATATCATTTTGATTAAAAAATAGGATTTCAAAAGAAGTTCCCCAAACCCAAACAAATACAATCCCTTTCCCATGCTTTCTGTCTGTTCAACATACTACAGACTGATCTGCTCCCACTTTATAGGAATAGCATTTAGACTTATATACTGTGCCGCCAATAGTGCTTTACAGCACTCTCTGGATGGTTTACAGTGTTTTAGCATTATTTGCATATTGCCACCAACAATCTGGGTCCTCATTTTTCTGATCTTGGAAGGGTGGAAGGGTCAATCTCAAACCGTGTCAGGATCTAACTCCAGGCTGTGGGCAGAGTTTGCCTGCAATTCTTCACTTTAATCACTGTACCACCAGGACTCCCTATGAGGTTAAATTTTGTTTTGGCTCTATACTTTTCTTCGTTTTTAAACAAGGGTCATGAAAGATTGGGAGAATTGGCTTTGTTGTTCAGTGAGCCAATTGTTGTTCCCTGGTGCCTGGTCTGCCTTGTCCTCATCCTCTCCTGAACGTAAAGGCAAACTGAACAGATAACTGATATTTTAATTGGCTTTGAAATAGAATTGCTCAGGCACATTGTGTAAAGTAAGCAATCCACTTTGGTTCAATCTCTCAACAATCATCGCATGTATTATAGTCTGGGAAGCTGTCTTAGAAGGCTCTAAGAGAGTATCTTATTGAGCATATCCTAGCCAATGCTAGTATGGGTATTCCAGTCCTTCAAATGAACCGCTTCACAACATGTTGGACCATTTAAAGTAACCCCATCTTTTTCCAGGCTTCTGCAGATGCTTTGAAAGCAGCTACTGACTGTTTCTATATACATGTTTACCCTCAGCCTCTTGCTTTCACATTCCCACATGTTGCAGAACACCTCCTTTTGAGGGACTATTGCAGCCTTAGAAGCTAGCCACTTCATCCTCTCTTTTGCGGCTGCTGAGAAGTCCTGTTACAGAAAGGGAAAGAGCCAGGTTAAACAGGAGAAAAGAAATCAGTTTTGCCAGGATTCAGAGAGACAGATGCTCATTATTATTGGTGATTGGAGAGAAAATAACTAGCTTAATGTAGCTGATAGTGCTACCCTCTTTATAGCATCATTATAATTACCGTGTCACATTCCTTTTTTCCTAGTAGATCATTTTTACAGTTGTGCTCAAGGGGTCATGTTAAGGATGCAGATATCAAGGTTTGCAACTTCTTAAATGTTAAAGACCTTTTAGATCTATTTCATCAAGTCAGTTGTGAACATAATACAAAAAGTAAGCATGGCAAAACAGGAAAATATCCTTTTAGAAGAGCTTAAATATGTGCAGTTAAATGAATGGCAAATAAAATGTCTTTTACGGGGCATGTACATAATAACAGCATTGACAACAGGCAGTAATCTTTCTGGAGGCATCTCATCATGGAAACACCACCAGCTGTTCTTTTTATATAATACTCATACATGGAAAAGGGCTTTGGTGAAAGTTCTTTAAAAAATAAGTAGGTTGATGAAAGAGAGGGTGGATATACATTTGAAAAAACCCAAAGGTTCAAAGTATCTTCTTTTATTTGCCACTAGTCCAAGTTTTATTTATCAAATTTTAGAACTGCCCATCTCCCTCACAGAGGGACTCTGAGGTTGTACAAATAAAATATTAAATATAAAAACGGTATATAAAATTTGAAAAGAGGCAAGTGATGTTAAGAATTACTTAAAAGGCGAGGGCAGGGGGCTTTCAAGGTGCTAAGCATCTCTATGGCTGCCTGTTCCTCTATGCACCCCAAGCAAGAACACTGAGCCACGTTTTCATGCCTTCCTTGAAGACCAAGGGAGTGGGGGCACACTTTATCTCTGGGGGATGATAGCCACACAGGATGGCCTTTGTAATATTTGCAGTATAATTTTTGTAGTACTGTTGCACTGACTAACATGGGTTTCTTGTATTTTAAATTTGCATTTTGAAAAAGCATGCATTTTCAAATGTATTGCTAATAATTTGCCAAAAATCTTAACCTTCAAGAAAAGCCTTTCTTTCAGAAACAAGAATTGACAGGAGAGCATTCAATAGATTGTAAATAAGTTTCATTTTTAGCTGCTCGGAAACCTCTATGAACAGGGCAAATATTGATGCCAAACCTTGGGAGGCATGAGAATGTATTTTATCCATACCCATTCTGATGTTTTCCCTTGCAAATGTTTCTTTTATTTTTATTCAGAATACAATGCTCTTTTCTGTAGCTATGCTCATATAAAAAGGTAAAGGTTCCCCTCCCACATATGTGCTAGTCGTTCCCGACTCTAGGGGGTGGTGCTCATCTCTGTTTCAAAGCCGAAGAGCCAGTGCTGTCCAAAGATGTCTCCGTGGTCATGTGGCCAGCATGACTAAATGCCGAAGGTGCACGGAGCGCTATATATATATTGTGATGTAATTGGACAGATGGCTTTTATTAATCCAATCAACTTTTGCTTTGAAGTTCTATGTTGTGCTGACTATAAAAGTAAATCTGAGCCATTTTTTCAGGTTCCCCCTTTTCATAGAGAGACCCCACTTTATCAGAGTACTCAAATAAATTGTTCTTAAATGAGTTTCTGACTGATTTGCTTATTGGAAAAAGTAAACCAAGGCAGAACCTGCAGCCAGATTTCGCCATCAGGAGAGAATCTTATCTTTCCATTAGGTTTCTGACACAGCTGGGTGTTTAGGCAAATCTTTTGCATTATTGTGCATCTTGTAGGCTTTCCTGGTCAGCCAGGTCCACAAGGTTCAAGAGGAGAGAAGGGAGAACATGGTTCCCAAGGCGTGCCAGGTGCATCTGGCGCCAAAGGACAGAAGGTAAGTGCCTGAGCTTTGATACTGGTGAGGGCCTTCTTCCATGCCACCATGCTCTTAGGAGCTTCATTCCCCCCATATATTCTTTCTTTTAGCCAGACTTTTAAGTACTTTTTATAAGATTCCTTTTTGTTGTCTTTTTTTTTTGTAAAGAGAAAGAAGGTGTATGAATTATGGAAATAAATGATTACTTGCATAATTTTGGGTGCCAATAAGGCAAAACTTAGGGATGGCAGAATCTGATTTTGATTTCTTTATGTTTTAATTTTTTTCCAAGATCCCAATTTGTGTATTTCCATGATGGTAAACCTATGGCACCCATACCACAGGTGCCATGCGGAGCCATTTCTTAGGGCATTTGAGGTGTTGCCATGTCAGCTCCAGTGCACATGCGTGTGCTGGACAGCTAATTTTGGCCTTCATTTTCAGCCATTTTTCACCCTCCGGAGGCTCCCCTGAAGCCTCCAGAGGGCAAAAAACAACCCAATGTGGAAACCAGAAGTTTGGGATCAGATTTCCGGTTTGCGTGTTGGGCTGTTTTTTCTCCCTCCTGAGGCTTCAGGAGCATTCAGAGGGCAAAAAAAGCCCTAAGGAGAACCCGGAAGTTCAGGAACAGAGGATTCCTGAAGCCTCTGGAGGGCGAAAAGCAGCAACCCAGAGGTTTGGGAACAGACTTCCGGGTTGCCCGTAGGGCTGTTTTTTGCCAACTGGAGGCTTCAGGGAAGCCTCCAGAAGCCTTCCGGAGGGCAAAATACGGCCCTACGGGCAACCTGGAAATTGGAAAACCTGGGGAGGGTGAAAAACGTGTCCACTGTGCCATCATGAGGGCAGAGGGTCATGGATGCATGCGTGGGGGGAGGACACGCATGTGCATGACACACACCCCCGATCCCCACACTTTTGGCATGCGATGGCAAAAAGGTTAGCCATCACTGGTATATTTGTTTATGCTTAATATTAGTACGGTGGTACCTTGGTACTCGGCATTAATTCATTTGTGTTTGTGTGTGTGTGTGTGACAGGTATTAAAAAGAATGAGTTCCAAACAAACCATGACTTGCCATGTAACTCTTTCTTTCGGCTGTTTTTTTTTTCCTATGTCAGCGACCTTCCCAATATGTCCAACTTCCTGTGCGCCCTCTGTGGCCATCCCCCTCCTTTTCCAGCAACCTTCCCAGTATGGCTGACTTCCTTTCCATTCCCCACAGTTGTTCCCCCTCTTCAAATAGACACATGTTAAGTACTAAACAAAAGCTGAACACTGGGACATTTTCATGTCAAAATGTGTCAAAAACAAAATTCAATGAGTTTTGAAGCAGCTGCATACTGAGGTACTACTGTACACACAATAAAAAGGTGCATTTCACCATTTTTCAGAATAACTTTTTTGTATTGCACATTTTTGTCTTACTCAAATATTTGAGTTTGTCTTGACAAATTTGAATTTGGTAAATTCATTTTAAAATGCTACCTCAATGAATTATCTTCTTCCCTTCCAAAATTGTTATCTACATTGAGAGCTCTGCTCTCCCAGAGTTTACATACTAGTCCTGTGTTCTAGGGTAAAATCTTACTCTTAAATTGTGCACAACAGAGATAGGTTTGTTTCTTAAAAAACGAAGGGGTGAGTACTATAATAATATATTCAAGCACCAGTGACATGTGGTGAGGTTTACGGCTGGTGAGGCACTGACACAGTGGTGGGTTTCAAATTTTTTTAGACTTGTGGACTCCCAGAATTCCACAGCCAGGCATGCTCAGTTCCGATTTAAAGTGACAGCATTTGTTTTTCTCCTTTGCGAAAAAGTTTCCTTCATTCTTTTTCTTCTCCCTCCCCCTCCTTCCTCCCTCTCTCCCTCCCTCCCCCTCTCTCAAACAGACACACGCACATAGAGAAGTTGGATTGGAATATCTCTCCTACCCCCTTCCCTCCTTCCCTCCCTCCCTCTCCCTCTGTCTCTCTCTCTCAAACAAACAAACAAACAAACACAAACACAGAAGTTGGATTGGATATATTTTCCAATGGCTTGAAAGCAGCTCCTATGCCATACTCCCCCCCCCATTCCCCTGCTGCCTTCCGATCTGAGCATTTTATTGCAGGCGGAGCCACATTGCCTTTTCAAACTTGTAATCAGTGAAGCTGGGCTTATATACTTTTATCCAGCTGTGTGTATGTGTGTGTTCGTGCGTGCGCGTGTGTGTATTTGAAAAGGCAACGTGGTTCTGCCTGCAATCAAACTACACTTGGGGAGGGATCTACACTTGAGGATAAAGTTTGAATTCCTCCCCCTCCTTCCGACCCACATGTACCTTTTCCAGCTGTTTCAGAGACTGCTGAAACAGCTGGAAAACTGCTCTTGCCTGTCATCATGAAAAGAAAAAATGTAAAAGGAAAAAGGCAAGAGCTGAGGTCAGGCTGAGCTAGTGGCTGCCAAAGTCAGCGTGGATGACTCTGCTTAACTGTTTAAAAAAGCCTCTTAAAAAGTGCCCTCTACAGGAGGAGGCAGGAGAATGACATGCCTCACCTATGTCAGGAATTTCTAGCCTTTTAACCCTTGCTTAACTCTGCTCGAGTGATCATAAAACGCCTAAAGTCAGACTAGATGAGGCACGTCATTCTCCTGCCTCCTCCTGTAGAGAGCGCTTTTTAGAGGCTTTTTTAAACAGTTACTTAGAGTCATCCACGGTGACTCTGGCAGCAACTAGCTCAGCCTGACCTCAGCTCTTGCCTTTTTCCTTTTACATTTTTTTTCATGATGACAGTAGTGAGGCTCTGCCTCCCCTGCCTCCCCTGACTGCACGTCCCTGTCAAGCACTGAATAAAGTTTTGGCAAAAGTACTAATGTCACTTTCTTTGTGGCCAACTATTTGTATATGTATATGTTATCTCCCTATAGTTGTGCTTCTGCTTACTAACTTAAAATGTGGTCAGCAAGACTCAATCCCCACCCAATCACATTCTGCCTGAAGTAGTCAAGCTTTGCCAATGTGCCTGCCAGGATTTGCATTCCACCAAAGCCCATTAGGGCCTTTCAAATCTCAAGTGAATTAGTTTCCCGTCAAAGCTCAGTGTGAAACACAGATTGCATCATCTTCTTTTCAGATTTCAAAATCAAATTTTCAAATTTCCAATTCAAATTGAATCAGGTTTACAGTGAATTATTTAGATTCTCCCAAGCTTCCTGTGTGCTAGGTTTGCCACATATTAGACAATATTATTGTTGTTCAGTCCTCAAATGGAAATTAAGTAGAAATATTGAAACATTGCTGTCATGTTTCCCCTATTCCTTCCTTTCACTAGGTAAAATATACCCAATTCCTGCAACCATTCTTCATGCTTTAGCCTCCATTAATGGATATATGATGATATATCATTATTTATAAATGTCCATTAAATTGGAGAGTATATAATTTGCAGCGGCTTGAGTCACTTGCATATTTCCATTGGCATTATGGTGCAAATTATATCATTTCCAACATTTTTAGAATAAATGAAAAATTACCTTGCCTCATGCCGAGTCTGTTGGATCAAGATCCCTTAAAATTTAGGTGTCACATCATTATTAACATTCTAATTACTAATAAAAACTGCCTAACTGATTCTATTTTAATGATAGAAGACAATAATTGTAGCTCTGAGTTGAAATATGGTGTCCTTGGTTCTAGCACTGCTGATGTTGCCTAATTTGATAATGAAACACCTGTAAGAAAACCACCAAGCTCAGAGAGCCAAGACTCCACATGATTATACCTCACTGGTTTGTTATGCATATGTGCATTTCACATTTTTCTCAATAATGCTTCATTAATGTATGTGTCAAGGGCGAAGCTGGATTAGGTCTCCCAGGTCCTAAAGGTTTTCCTGGTCCCCGAGGACGAGATGGCATTCCTGGATCAAAAGGTGACCAGGGATATCCTGGTGTGTCAGGGGAGAAAGGATTTCCTGGCATACCTGGTCAGCCAGGATCTCAAGGTAAGGCTGCCCTGATTAGCTACATTTTTATGATACAGGATTTCTTTCCCTATGTATGCCATACTTTTATAATTAAAATAATGTCAGTCCTACCTCAGCCTGGATTCTAGGTTTCTAAAAACGATCCTGGGCTCCATTTGTTGCAAAAGATACCGTTTTATTAGAAATCAGTGAACTGCAGTAAAGCAAAGCCAGAATTCAAATTTGCGTGCCAAATTCCCCAAGTGTAACGTTTCTCCCTCTTAGGTACTCCCACTTACTGGCCTCCCTCGTCCAATCAGTTCCAAAGGGGATGTTTTTGAAATGGTATCTCAGGTGTGAGCTGTTACACAGCCACGTTACATTCTCAGTCATCTGACCTTGAAACTATGTCTTAGGAAGCCACAGTGAATAATGAACCTTCCCCTCTCCCATCCAGAGTCCATGGCACACTGGTACCGAGTGAATGCAGAGCGCAGGTGTGAGGTAGCATTTCTGACGAATAAACTGAATAGTGTAAAACCTCACTGGAAGTTTACATGACTTAATAAAGCTTATTTCCTCTTGAATATTTCTTTTGTTTTCTTTTACATAAGAGGTCACTTTTATTCCTACCTTTGGTTTTAAAGTGTGACAAGGGATGTACCATATCTCATAATTCTCTCTAAGCTAAGTAGGACTTCCCTTTAAAGTGTTTATCACATTATAAAGGACCTATCATTAGTGTCTATAAAGACCAATAACTTTTGAAATGAATAACATGCAAGTTAACTGGCTATACTTGTTTATTTTTCAAATTAGGTGAATTGGGTCCTCCTGGATTACCAGGTGTACAGGGTTCCCCTGGTGAACCCCAGATGGGCTCTCCTGGCCCCCCTGGCCCTTCAGGACAATCTGGGCCTCCAGGACCAATAGGTAACCTATTCACTTGTTTCCATCACTCTTAATGTTGATAAATTGAATCCTTAAGCTAACCATTTCATGTGGTTTGATGAAAGGCATCAATATTCATATTTCTAATTTTTATTAAACATCCCAACCTGAGGAAAATCAGGCATTGCCAGGAGCATGTGGGACAATGAAACAAGCCAACAAATATTTTATTTCATCAATGAACTTTCTAGCAAGGAAGTTGTCCCTTTAGATATAAACCCACATTTGGTCTGTGGGAATAGAACATATCTAGATCTTATGCTTATTTACTGAGCCAAATTAGAGAAGAAATTGTCATGTTTCTGCAAATGATTGGCATGCATTAAAGAAGCAAATGGTTAGCATTTTCAGATTCAGATTGAACACATTGGATACTGTGATGCTTCCCCAGATACCTCTCTAGATGTCAGTTCGGGGAAGGATGAAACAGTTCCTGGCACATCAGGAGCTGAGTTGAGTGATGGCTCCGAGCAGCCATCTGTGAAGGATTTGGCTGAGGCCAAATCAGAAGAGTCCTGAGGCTCCAGGTGGGGAAAGCATGCAGCTGCAGTTGGTCAGTGATGAGGAAGACGAACTGCCTTCTGCACAAGAACATATAGGGCAGAGAAAAGGCAGGAGCAGAGAAGGTCATCCAGATTACTTGTGAGGAGAAAGCCTTGCCCTTCTTGACAGGCTACACTGGAGGTTGGCTATTTACAGAGCATGCAGATAGAGATGATTCTGGGAACAGTATGTTTGTTTCCTAGCTGCCTGTTTTCTGGTTGTTGTGATTCCTGCCATGTTTAGATTGACACTGTGCCTTGACTTGGATCATGCTTGGAAACTCTGGACTTTTCTTGTCTCGTGAGCTCTCTTATGTTATGGATTAAAGTTTGCCTGGTGGATTTATTTTGACTGAGAAACTTTCAAGTGCTCTGTGGACTAGCATTAGTTTGTTCATGGCTGGATTTCATTGGGACAGTTTTGGGTTTTTGGTGAAGGGAATTGCTGGGGAATATTAATAAACTTACTAAACCACATGTGTTACGTGTGTGTGAGTGAGTAGGACAGCACAGATACTGGCAACTCTGAATAATTTTTCAAGAGGTTTTAGTAGTTGAGAAATTGCTCACATATTTAATTGCTGGGATCATTGCACAAATAGTTAATTGCTCTTTTATTTTGGAAATTAGTAAAACAGTAACATAGAGCTCTGTTCAAAATAGACACTATTTCCTGTGTAGATGCGAATCCTTGTTCCATTATATTTCAAATATAACAAACATCCTTTGTGAGTGTCTGGAAGAACAGAAATAAAGGGCTGTTCTCAGAGCTTCAGTTTCAGTGGAGACATTCCATCATCACTGTTTCTCAGAGGCAGATTCTCAGTTGTGTGGGTGTGAAGGAAGCCACTAGATTCTGCTCAGGCTGTATCCGTGAGCATAGTCAATAAGCTCCTTTTCTTATCCTCACTCCATATGCGCTTAAATTATCTCAAGCACAGTTATTATAACTTAGTGAGTTCATATTAATATTTCTTAGTTGATTTCTAATTTTCACCTATCAAGGAATTTATAAAAGATAGGCAAAGTTTGGAGTTTAACAACTGGATTTTATATTTCCAGATGTGGGGGCTATTAGCATCACAAATGCATTGGAAGATACTTTGATACAATCTACTAATACTTCCTTATTTGAAAAAAAAATCCCAATGTAGGATTAGAAGATGCTTTAGAAAACGCCTATAGATTTTCTAATATATAATGTAAACACTATTTTTTTCCTTTCCATCACAAGAATGTTTACCCCCATTCTCCAGCTCATTTTATCTGATAAAAATTTCTTAGAAACTTATAAATATATGAGTACTTAATAAATTTCAGTTGGTTGCCTCAGCATGGACTTTAGATTCTTTATTTTTTTTTCAAATGGATAATATATTTCCTACAAGGTCCCTTCCTTCCAGCATAAGACTAGATTATTTATTTGTTTGTTTGTTTGTTTGTTT